CATTGTCGAAGCTCCAAGACCCGGCATTGGCAGAAGTTCTCTGAACTTTATCAGTTACTTTCTGGCACAAAGAACGTTCCGACTACGGTGCGGCTCGCACGGCAGCAAACTGAGAGTGCACCGTGTGGGCGTTCCACAAGGCACTGTCTTATAACTGATACTCTTTAATCTCGCAATTGCAGCCACGCCCCACGAACTTGCCAAGATCGCCATCTTTGGCTTCACTGTATACGTGGATGACGTATCAATATGAAAACAATCGACAGTATTGCAAGGCAGCAAGGCACTCCAAGCGGGCCTAGATATAATCGAAGCCCACTTATAGAGAGTAACGATGCAAACCTCTCCGGATAGAACCAACTACACCATAGTTTCCCCTAAAAGACAAAGACTCGCCAAGATTACGCAACAACTGAATCTCCATCTATCAGGCAGAAGAATTAAATTTTCTCGTCATTGAAGATCATGGGGATCACAATTGAAGAAACGGGAATGGTAGATATCTGTCTTTAGGATACACGAACATCGCAAGCTGGGAGCTACAGAAGAAATTACCAGAACAATGTTTCATACTTATCAGTACTCCCTGCAAAATTTTAGAGCACGTAATTTACTCACATCTTGCTAACTTTCTTAATTCAAATTCTTTTTTTACTGCATCACAACACGGTTTTCGCAAATCACTGTCCTGCGAAACCCAGCTTATCACTTTCACTAATGACCTACTTTCCATCCTCGACCGTGGTTCCCAGGTTGATTGCGTCTTTCTAGATTTCTGTAAGGCATTCGATAAAGTCTCTCACAAACTTTTACTTTTCAAGCTCAGTCACTTGCATGTTGATCCTAATATTTTGTCTTGGATTGAATGTTTTCTTACTAATCGTTCTCAGTTTGTGTATACTAATGATGCTAACTCTTCTCTAAGTCCAGTCACTTCCGGTGTCCCCCAAGGGTCCGTTCTGGGGCCCTTATTGTTTCTTATTTACATTAACGACTTACCTACGTGTGTATCCTCTTCTATTAGCTTATTTGCCGACGACTGTGTGATATATCGTGAAGTTACTAATGAATCCGATTCACTCCTCCTCCAAAATGATTTGTGTGCTGTATCCCAATGGTGTGAATTGTGGCAGATGTCCCTTAACATTAACAAGTGCAAGTCTATGAGAGTTTCTCGTCGTCACACGGTTCTTCCACCTCTCTCAATTTGTAACACTCAACTTCAGTCTGTGACCTGTTACAAATACCTGGGTGTCCATATTACCTATAACATGTCATGGAAAACCCACATTGACCACATTATTGCTAACGCTAACTCTATGCTCGGTTTTCTAAAAAAGAAATTTTACACTGGCCCCCGTTTCTTTGAAATTACTGCTTTATAACTCCCTGGTCCGGTCAAAATTAGAATACGCTGCTGCAATCTGGGATCCCGGTCACTCGACACTTATAACTAACCTGGAAGCCATGCAAAATCGCGGAGTTCGTTTCATACTTTCTAACTATCATCGTACAGCAAGCGTTTCCTCCATGAAACTCAGTCTATCCCTACCCTCCCTGTCTTTACGTCGCAAAATATCGCGCTTGTGCCTCTTTTACAAGATCTATCATTCTAACACGTCATTGAAAGATAAACTATTCCTTGAGCCCCCATTCATTTCTCCGCGTTTTGATCATCCATTCAAAGTTGGTGTCCCTCATTGTAACACATCAGCCTTTTTGAACGCGTTTATTCCAAAAACATCTCTTGAGTGGAACCACCTTCCCGCTTCGTTTGTTAATATACCTTCAATTGATTTATTTAAAAAAAACCTTATCTGCTCACCTTTTGTCGTGATTGTCCTTTTGTTTATTTTTTGACCAGAGTGCTGTGTTTCGAGCTGTTGATGTTTATTCTCGGCTGTGTTTGCTCTCTTTTTGTACCCTTTTTTTTTTCATTTTTTGGTTGCCCCACCCCCTCTGTAATGCCTTTTGGCCCTGAGGGTATTGTAATAAATAAAAATAAATAAATGGTCAGCGCCCTAGCCATATCGCGCATCTGCTACGAGGCTCGGCATCACCGGATCAAAATGGCTCGATGGCAGAATATCGAAGTCCTAAACAATGAAGCTAGAAGAATAATCATGGGCCTACCCAAGTTCTGTATCCTGGGAAAACTCGGGGAATACGCCCAGCTTAACACGTTACACGAAACCGTCGTGGCTCGCTCGGTGGCGCACGGGGACAGACTCCAGAAAACGCGGCAAGGATGAGGGATCTTGAATCTTTTATAAACATCTACAGAACCCCCCCCCCCCCCCCCCCCCCCCGAATTACCTGAACAACTACCATCTTGGGAAGGTCGCTCAAAATATATTGAAAAGAAACATCAAAGACATATCAAGAGGGCAGAGAAATTGGACACGAGTGCTGTGTCAGAGCTTGGCTGGGACTCGTGTCCATTCTTGGGTCGAAGGACTCTCGACATCGGGCTCAAAGCCAATTGCTGAGTATGCGCTAGCAGTGATAACGCTTCGAGGGTAAGGGGAGGGGAGGGGGGGGGGGGGGCGCAGGTATTCTGCTTTATACCCGTTTACATCTCAAGAAAAACATCATGTTTTGCGGATTGTTCATACGTGGCGCGAAGTAGTTCATAGGAGATTTGGTTGTCGATGGAAAAAGCGACGCTTTTGGCGTTTGGAACGTGAACGTCTTGATAAGATAACGTACATCTAACCTAAATTCACCTACATATATCTTAATTATCCGCATAAAGGGGAAAATAATTAGGATTGTTTTTTGAGGAGCCGGACTTCTTTTACTACGGTTCTCGAGCTGAAAACTTGTATAGATGGTATTTGATAAGTACAGTAAGTGAAAGAAAAGAAAATCTTTGCTTCGATTGAATTTGCTCTTAAAGGAGCTGTGCAACAATTTCAGGGCTTTGCTTAAATAATTGTGGAAGTTGATGCCTGACACTTCTGAAGTGAACTACCGAAAACAGATTTTGCCTGGATACCCTAGTTTTTATTTAAAAAAAAAATGAAAAAGATCCAGGTTTTTGCCGCCTCTCAACTTGTACGCCGTCTTCCGGGTCATGTGCGCAGTGACGTTGATGGGGTAGGCGCGGGGTTCCGGAAAAGTTCTCTCTTTAGAGCCATCAGTGAGCAGCGAGAACTCATCCGCTCGCGACCGCGTGACCACGTGCTGACGGGTGCCGCGCGAACAATATGGTGAAAAGAGGAAAGTCACATCCGGGTCCGGCCATATTCCCCCTCCCCCTCCGGCCTCTGGCGGCTGTTCGCGGTAACAGATAGAGCTGACGGTTTTGTTGACCTAGGATAGATGGCTCCACTAAAACTCCGTATAATATACGTTTTGTCGATGATACCAGGTTTTTGACGCATTTATATATATGTTGGAACGACAAGATTTATAGAAAAGTTACCTTTTATCGAGCAGGTATTCGCAGAACTTGCTATCTTTCTACAATATTCCCCATTGACGTCCATTGCGTCGAAGAGGTGTGATCACTGAGAGCCCGAGAAACGTTGGGTGTACCCAATTATGTTCACACGTTTTACTTCGTGATTTGTACTTCGGCATGTAATTTGCCTAATTATGCAATCTCGGTGGTTGCGGAGTGATAATAACATGTTAAGGAATAGCCACGTTCTGGGCGTTGTGTCCTGTAAAAGTGACTGAAACAATGAGAATAACTATGCTTATGACGGTTTATTTGAATAATTTCTGTTTTCATGTCTTTGTATATACATACAAATTAAGGCTAGCTAATATTTCGGTGGCTGTGTTTTCACGTGCTGCAGTTGAGCCAAGTCCGGAATATATAAGGTCCATGTCACGGAGAGACATTAATATTTTTTTAATTCTGTCCCAAGGTTTCTTGACAATAGCAAAAGTGACATGTAAACCCCCGTACCGTGGGGGTTGTGGAGGTGCTGGAGGAGCAAACGTCATACCCCAAATGGTCTTTGAATTCCCGAAGCCATCAGTGCCTAGTCGCGAGACTGACCGAGGGACAGCGAAGCGGGTCACAGTCGCTCGTCTCGTCGCTCGTGAAATCGTTTGCATGCGGTTTAATACTTAACACCATCTGGAAGGATGCAGCGATACACACGACGGAAAGGCGACCTAAACAAATATACGATTTTCCTCGCCAGGGGCCCTGCTCAAAACTTGAGAGCTACTGGTGTATCCCGAATAGGGACTCCCCTCTCCACCATTAAAGCAGAGCTCGGCTTGTTACGGTTCCGCGTCCTGTTTCGTGAATGGTGGCTCGACCTCCTCATTAGTTAATGCCGGAATCTCGTAGGCCAAGGACCGATAATGAGATGCAAGGAAGTTTGGCCGCACCCTCCGCTTCTTAAGTTGTCTCTGACCACACGAAGGGAAACTGAGGGTGAGGAGGAAATAAGAGCTCGCGGCGACGTCGAAGGGCCGATCTCTGTCGATACAATGTAGAAGACGAGGCCTGCCCGTGACGTCGAGGGAGTATTAAGGCCCTGTTATCCTCCGACGTGGAGCGTAACAAGATTGGTCGCAGATATGAAGTCCCTGATCGCCGGCCACGCCCGCCATTCAACGGCCCATGACGTTCTGCGCTTTGCCACGTTCGCTGCGCTCAACTTCGAAGTATAAGAAAGCCTTTAGACATGTGCACGTTCGGGCAACAGAAAATTTAAAGGTCAGTGACATTAAAACGTAGCCTTTATGGTATATCATTTATTTTGTGAGTTTCTTTTTGCAGTTCGCAGGTTGACCGAACAAACCCTGCTGAACTTTGCCATTGTGTGGTGTATTGCCCGTTTTGGTGTTGCTATTGTTATCTTTATATTACTTCTCAAGGCGTTTGAACAATGATCACAGCTGTCATTTTTCGTCGAGATGGCGGATTTGAAAAATATTACAATTGCCCGAGTACATCTTACGCTTCGTGTTGAGAGTATAAAAACGCGAAGTAGCTCAAATGCGAAGCAGTTTGCGCAGAAACGCCGTTCCATAAAGAAGGAATCAATAGAAGCGATGAAGCTCCTGCTGATCGCCGTCGTTATTTCTATTCACACAACAGGTACGTAGTACATCTTGTATAATTTCGCAGATGCTTCGATTGTACTGGGCATTACTTTCGAACTGGAAAAGGTGCCAAATCATCGGTAAAACCTTGCAATTTTTTTTAACCATTACTCTTGCAACATTTGATGTATAATCGAAGTAGCGATGTTGGACGAGTTGGCTCTTGGAACTTGATTTGTTTGTTTTCCGCTTCTTCCTTGTCTTCTCGTTCTTTATATATAAATCATCGTCCTGATATCCAAGCGTGTGGACATTTGTAGTTCAGTACATAGTGTTTTGTCCCTTATTTATTGGGTGGTTTTAGTTGAGATCAGACACCCATGTTGGGGTGTGTATGTTAATTTTTCAAAAAGAAATGTATATGTAGCATCCCCTCTTCCGTAATTAACAAAAATGTTATTCAGCACTAAAAAAAAAAAAAAGAGAAGATAGTTCCGTCTACAAAAGTCATAAGTAAAGCGATGTAGAATGTTACATTTCGGCTTCTTTGTTTTTGTACACAGCCCTTTCTTTTGTTATAAAGGAGGAAAACCAAATAAAAGCACAAATATTTTTATAGAATGTATAATGCGGCGTTCATTTGTTTGTTTAAATTAAACTTTTTTTTTTTCGTGCAATTCGTGCCAAAAAATAAACGGCTATACATCGTACCTTAGACGCTTTGGCGACATATTTGGAGCCTTTTATATTATGATTCATCACAAATATTTCTTACTAAATGCTGTACAGCTGCGATTCTACATGGGCAATCGACTGTTGCCAATTTCGTTTAATTTATTTTAGCCAAGTAATTTAGAGAATCTTTTCTTACTATCATAAAATTAAGTTTAGCCATATTTTGAGGTTCCTTTATTAAAATGACCATGTTCTTGTTTCTTCCTGTATATATTTGTTTGGCTATTATTCCCAATGACGCCACCTACCCTTTGTCATAATGAGAGTTCCCTCTTTCTTTTGTTGTATTTTCCCTAAGTGCGACCCACAGACCAGAATGAATAAAATGGTAGTTTCGCAGGTTGACTTTGCTGCAAGTATTTATAGGTTCAAAGAGCTAAAGGCTTTTTGAACCTATAAGCCTTTGCAAGTGTTCGGGTGGTGGGGTGGAAGGGGGGGGGGGGGTGGCGGGAGCTGATGTTGAAGGGGGGAGGGAGAGGGGGAGAGGAGAGTGTAATGTGGACGTACCGCCATTAAAACAAAATGCCTGACCGACCCCTCCGCTCTTCGACGCCAATAGCCACGCGTGTCTTTGTTCCTTCAATCTGATTTAGGACACTTGAGTCGGGGTGTATATTGTTGTTCACCTTAGTTTAGTAAATATATACTTTTTGCAAGTCAGTCTTAAAGCGAAACGTAGTTCAGATAGTGCTCGGGAAAAGAGCACTAGTGCCACCTGGTATACACTCTAAAAAATGTCTGTGCGTCTACTTCCACGCACAACACTCGGAGAGCCAATCAGCGCAACTTACGGAGGCAGCTGAGCGGATGAACATATGTTTAGACCAAAAAACGCAGTCTGAGTTGTGACATTAAACCATGCAAGCGTGACGTTTTGCATTGCTTAAAGGGGTACTCCGGCGATTTTTGAGCTACCTCTACTAACTATATTTTCTGACTTCCCGACCTTTACCCTTTCTGATATGCTATTTAGTATCGTGAAATTCATAATAGTTATTGCGAAATCGGCAAATGAAAATGATGCAAAAACCAACATTCAAATATACCCGCTCTTTTCTGTGCAGTGACGTCAGTGGAAGGCAAGCTTGCCAGTCGGGCGAGCAGTCTAGAAAATAGAATATGTCAATCATTTGTTCCTTGCTGGAGCGCGGGGACTGGAGCGAGCTTCCAAAGCATTCATTTGGCACCGTGAAACTGCTTCGAATCAGTTGGGAACAAAATCTACAGTCCAAAGAGTGAACCCCCGCACTTCCACTGACGTCACTTTTTCATTGTTGCCAGTAGAGACTTTCAGATTGAAAAACACGGTGAGGACCAAAATTGTAAATTCAATAACTTCGGGAAAAAAAATTATTTTGACCTAATATTTGGGATACTATTTTGGCGATGCTGTTTGGCGAGTTTAGCAAAATTTCGAGCAAATCGGGGACCATGAAGAAATCGGCGGAGTACCCGTTTAATGTCACAACTCAGACTGCGTTCTTTGGTCTAAACATATGTTTCGGCATCGTCATTCGCTGAGCTGCCTCCGTAAGTTGCGCTGATTGGCTCTCCGAGTGTTGTGCGGAAAAGCAGACGCACAGAATTTTTTTAGAGTGAACACGATGTGACCTTTTTCACTTTTCAATGTTCTAGTTTATTGTAGCTAAACAAACAACTGGGCTTCTTGCAAAATAAAAAATAAATAAAAAAACAATAAACGGCTCAAGCAACGAACTAACAAAAAAGCAAAATTGACTGTCAAAGCTGACGTTAGCGTTTGCGTTTGCACGTGCCATAAAACAAACTTCCGTTCCGTGCAAAAAAATTGAGGGCCGGCTGACGTCACCTTTGACGTCAGCTAGACTTGAATCTTTCGGGAGAAAAACAACAAAGACAATTTTATTAACACGTGTAAACGCACACGTCATCTTTTACATTTTTTTCGCGTGAGTTTTTTTTTTTTTTTTTTTTTTTTTTAGTGAAAGTTTAGCGCTTCTCTTGTCTTCTCTCCGCCTTTGTTTTTCTTAGGGTGCCTCAATGACCTTCTGTTTAGAGTGATGCCACCCTTTGTAGTACCCGATGCCGACAGCACGCGCTCACGGGGAAAATACAAAGAAATCGACGAAAATAAAATGTCGCCGTAGCACAGTCAGCGCCACAGACGCGTGCAGGGACACGCCCTTTCACGCGCTTCTGAACAAACAATAAATGTAAAAGTGGGAACAAAATGGCCAGATGTCTCCACCCTAAGCAAAGCGCACATGAAGGCACCCTAGTTTTTCTGTGCGCTACGAATTCAGTGCGCGCTTGATCTCGAGCTTTCTGCCTTGGGTAACACTTGGTCGCACGCGCAGCCGAGGACCGGTGAAAGGCAGCAAGCGTGTGCTGGAGGCGGAGCTTCCACTCAGTTCTAAAGCCCGGTTCAGACAGTTGCGTTTGACTGCGTTTGACTGCGTTGCGGCAGCGAGAAACCAGGACATCCCTGCTGCTTATATCGCGTGCCAAGATGATTTCTTGGATTGGATTCCACGCTTCACACGAAGCACAGATGCGCGGGTGACTCGCTTTCGGCACTCGACGCAACGCAGTCAATCGCACTCAAGCGCAAGTGTATGAACCGGCCTTTAGCCTTTCACCGACTGTAGGCACGAACACGCCCGCTTCCATGGCCAGTTTAATATTAACGAAAAGTGATCACACTATTGTGCCAAGCAAATGACTTCTTCAAGCGAAATGTCTTTTTCACGTGGTTTCTGCCCTAGGATATTAACCGACACGCACAACCAGAATTTCGACACTCCAAAATTATTGCGAATACGTTTAATTAATTTTCATTGCCATCGCAATGACTACATTTTATTAAAATAGTATAGCTGGAGTTAGGCTTCACTCCAGAATTTCAGAAACAAATGCCGCCTCAGTAAACAAAAAGCGTCATGTTTGTGATGTCAAAAAAAAAAAAAAAAAGTAGCATGGGTCAGCATTACTTTTATTTATTATCACTTACTGAGAAAACAAAAAATTCCCGTATTACTCAGATGGCAGCAAGAAATAACGGTTTCTCGATGGCAATATATATAGAAGAGGGAAAAGAAGTTTTAACGAAAAACTGAGAAACTTTTTTCTGGCGCCTCCTTTCAGTGCAGTACAACCCTTAAGTGGCGTTTTTTTTTTGCCCAATGTAGGAATCAAAACCATATTTTAACTGAGATGAAAACACTAAAAGTATTTCTGTGTGAAAAAAAAAGTTGGCGAAACTGGTTGTTTTCACGAATCAACGAGGAAAACTAGAAGCACCGAGCTGCTGTGGAATGGTCGCACTAAGCATGTCATATTAGCCGCATTTGTATGCGCTTTGCTTATTAGAACATGATATGCTGAGAAGTTTATTTTAATCTTTTTTTTTGTATTTCTAAACGTAGCGTTTTAAATTCTTTTAACCGGTTACGTAAATGACTACAAAGCTCGCGCGCATTGTTATGCTTTGTCATTGCCAGCACGGTAGCAACGACAATGCGCGATACTCTTTGTCAGGATTAATATTTTCCACTTTATATTAAACTCGAATAAAAAAGATACAATAAGAATCACAAGGAGACACCGCTTTATGCGTTGGCCAGCAATGCAGCGAGAAACTGAGGAAGCAGAGGAAACGACAGACTGTGGTGACGTCACTATACGCTTAGCTCTGACTGGAATTATTAGTGGTTATACGGAAAGCCTTTGCCTCTACTCACTCGCGGAACACTTTTGAGCGTGAATGCGGAACGCTGGATGCCGGCGTTTAGCAATCTAAAGGGCTGTTTAAGCTCCAACGTCGACGAACGCAACGCGCGCCCGAAGTTCGTCTGCCGCTGCGCCACGTCACGCCGCATCGAGAAGATACCGAACGACCGTGTTTACAGTCTAGCATGGATCAGAGCGGTTGAGGGCGCCCCTACGAACTGGCTGACTTTGCGCATGCGCGACTCCGTGACAACCGGATCGTCTCTACACCATATTTTCGCTTCCTGGTCGGTACCAATTCTGCAATCGGTCAGTATGGTTCGTCCACGTCGTGTACTCACGCTTCAAAACAACGCTGTGTTATCATCATAGCAGACTTTCACGGTGACTCAACAAAGTGACACACCGAAGAGAGCGGAAGTTGCCTAAATTACGGAATGTACGCGTTCGAAATTGTTGCAAACTCTACATAACCCATACAAACAATACACAATTCAGCCCCATTTGCATCTCGCACCGCTACGTTCGTTTGCCAGCTGAGACACCCAAGTTTTTTGAATATCTGACTGGCTAAAGAGTCCAGATGTCTAGCTGGGTCCGCCGTTCCCATACATTCGACGGCGCTCGTTGTTTCCATCGGGAACGGCTGCCGGTGTGTACGACTAGTACATGGTCATGTATAGCACACATATTAAGTCATTCTTAATTCTAGGTAACTCTACCTTTGGTGCGTCATCAAGCTTCCAGCTTTTCCCGGCACTCCACCACCACATTACCATCACTACCATCATTATGCCTTTAAACCTAACGATCGTCGGGGTAGCGCATCCTCAGAGCAGTCCATGTGCACGCACATATTCGCCCCATCGACCTCACGAACTTTAACCACGCACATCGACACGGGAACACGAGAACAGCACACGACACGCGGCAAGAACACCGGGTTCAGATCGCAGAAGTCAGCGTCTCGCATACTCCGACTGGCCCGAACGTCAGGGTTCGCAAATGAGGCGCTCACGCGAGGGATGCTGAGATAGTTACCTTCGTCGGTCTGCGCTCGTCGACGACTCGAATGGAGCTAGAATAGATCATGCTCGATTCCGCCGTAAGCTACGCCGACGCGAGCTGAGCTACGCTTCGCAACGTTACGAGGCGCATGTTTAGCAGCCAGCGTCGACCAACGCTATCGGGCGGGTGCGCTCGTCCATGTTACGACAGAGTATAAATAGCCATCTCTAACTCCTTCGAACGATGATTAGATACAAAGGCAGCTATACTTCGTTTCATCTTACGCCCGGACGCAGCGGACGCTACGAGCTATCCCAGCCAATCCCGCTCTGTGGGCGTAGTCCATGACACGCTATCCGCGCGTCGGTGTGCCCCCTCTCCAAGGTCACGTGACACTTACGTTGCCTCCGATTGGCTCCGATTGCTCGTAACATCCGCTGGGCACGGACTGGAGGTGAAACGGAGTATAGCTTTGCGTCTCCCCACTAATCACTCCAACCAGAGGTTGGTTGGAATGATTAGTGGGGAGCTCGGCAATCTGGCGTTCCCGCGCGCTCTCGTTTCCTCCTCTCCCTTAGTTTGTTGGCGCATAATCACTGACAGCTCAAGAAACGCACTTTAGCGTGTGACCTATTATGCTATACATAACAATACCCCGAGACAACCAGGAAGCAAACGACTACCCACTCCAACATACACCCACACAATGTCCCTAAACTTTCTGTGTGTGTGTGTGTATTCTGCTTCTTGCAGTCTCGGGGGTTGTGTTATTAATAATCTTCACCAGCTCATTTTCGCCCTGACTTCCTGTTCTATTTCGTTCCAGGTTTTGACTTCTTGATTTGTTTTTCGGCATACAATTTGTCTAATTCAGCAATCTTGTTTTTCGGCATATAATTTGTCTAATTCAGCTATCTCGACTGTTTCGGAGCAATAATTGGATTTTAGGGACTCGCCACGGTCCTGGGATTCTTAACCTCTTAGTGACTAAAAAAAGCCAGGATGACTATGAAGGTTTCTTTTAATAAATTCTCGTTTTATGCCCGTGTATATACATATACTTAAAGCTAGTTAATCTTTCGGTCACTTTCTGTTCGCGGGCTACATTAGAGCCAACAAGTCGAAGTATATGGGCTCAATGTCACAGAGAGTCATTATTCTTTTCTAATTCTGTACCAAGGATTCTTGACAACAGCGAAAACGAGGTGTGAACCCCTGTACAATGGTGGTCGTGGAGGTCCCGAAGGAGCAAACGTCCAACCCAAATGGAGTTTTGATTCAAGAACCAATCACTGCCAAGTTGTTATGGTGAAATCTGGCTGTAATCCTCGTAACAACTGCTTCCCGTCTGAGGACGATTGTCAACAACATTGCGGTAAGCGTCATCAGATATACATAAATGTGCGGCATGCTTTGGTGACATACGGTAAAAGTAACCGAGCTGTATCAGAGGGGCAATGTGAAGAACATGGTTAAAATTGCACACAAATAGAAAGGAACAGTGAAGATCTGTGCGCAATTTTAACCATGTTCAATTATTACCAACTCGCCCAACTAACCACTTTAATACGGCAATGGGAAGATTTCAGCTAAGCTCAGTTCACAAGAACCAGTGAAAAATTCGTAATACGTAGTAAATTACTACATATTACGAATTTTTTTACTAACACAAATTTAAAAGCAATATCCTTCTGTAAGTCAAGCTTTTCTGCAGTGTTGGGAAGTACTTTAAGCTGTGGTGTCGCTCTATAATCATCGCTGCCCGATGGGTCTGCACTTCGCTCGTTTCCCAACGAGTGACACTACAAAACGAGAAGACCGCGAATGGATTTATTGTCCTTCCCGGTTTCCCCGTCGTCGAGAGCCGGCAGTCCTGTCCCGCCGACCCTGGTTGTCGCCCGTCGTTCAGAGCTCGTAGTCCAAGTCAATGTCCAGGCCTGTGGATCGCCTGTCCTAGGTTAGCGCTGCTTAGGCTAGCTGTCCCGGGCTATCATCACCCGGGTCTCGCTGCGGAAACACTCCGGGATTGTCATGGCCTATTCCGGTATGGCCAGGGGTCGCCGTTCCCGCCGGTCCTGGTCCAAACCTCGCTGGCGGACCGCTCCAAGGATCACAATGGGCCAGACTAGGGTGCCTCAATGTCCTTCTGTTTAGGGTGATGCCACCCTTTGTAGTACCCGATGCCGAAAGCTCGCGCTCACGGTGAAAATACAAAGATATCGACGAAAACAAAATGTCGCCATAGTACAGTCAGCGCCACAAACGCGTGCAGGGACACGCTCTTTCACGCGCTTCTGAACAAAAAATAAAAATAAAAGTGTGGGACAAAATGGCGAGATGTCTCCACCCTAAGCAAAGCGCACATGAAGGCACCCTAGGCCAGACCGGCTTTATTGTTCCTGCCCTGCCCCGGCCTTGCGCAGCACGCTTTTTCCGGCGCCAGCTCGTGCCTCCTCGGCCGAACACTTGTCACGTGCCCTTCGCCCCGTCGACTTCTACCTTTCGGTACTCGGGGTCTTATAGGACTCAGAGAAGAGTTCTTCCGCGTCAGCCATGGTGTATTCGTCGACGGACTGGGGAGACAGAGGTAAACACCGTGGTCGGGGCCGTCTGAGGTGTCGGCGGAGGCGGCTGCTCTTGGTGTTGACTCGGTGGCCACGTTCTACCGTCTGAACGCTTTAGCGTCTGGCCACGTTCTAACGTCTATGCGCCTGTAGTAGGCGCAGAGACGCAAAAATCTTTGTATCGCCTTCTCGTCCGATGGTGGAGGAAAGGCGGCTACGGCGCGCATCTCCTCGTGGTCAGGACGAACATCCTTATTGTTCCCGACGTAGCCTAAAAACTTCAGTCCGTCATAGGCGAAACGGCATTTCGTCTGCTTGAGGGTGAGCCCGGCTGTCTTGATTGCTTGGAGCACGCTCGGAGGCGTCTCAAGTGCTCGTCAATATCGCGTGAATATATGACGACGTAGACGAGACAACTCTGACATTTCAGACCTGCCAGCACGGTGTCCATGACACGTTGGAAGATGGCTGGTGCTGAACTAAGTCCGGACGGCACAACTTCGAACTCGTACAGTCCGTCGGGCGTGACGAAGACAGTTTCTCATGGTCGCGTTCGTCGACTTCAATCTGCCAGTAGCCACTCTTCAGGTCCATCGACAAAACACATCGGGTGTGACGCACTGCCGGTACAATGTGTCGCCGATGCGGGGAAGTGAGTGGACGTATGTTTTTGTTACAGCGTTCAGTCGACGATAGTCCACGCAGAACCTTATGGTTCCGTCCTTCTAGATTAGAACAACTGTAGATGCCCAGGGGCTGCTCGAAGGCTGGATAATGTCGTCGTTAAGCACTACTTGTACTTAATTTTGAATGAACTGTCTCTCTTTTAAAAGGACACGAAATAAGGATTGGTGGACAGGAAGCGCATCGTCGTTGATAACATTGCGGTACTTCACTACCGTCGTTTGTGGCACCCTTGAGAGCACGGCGAAGCACTCGCTGAACTTGCTGACAAGCTCGAGCAGCTGTTGTCGTTCAGCAGCGGATAGCTTTGGATCGATGTAAAGTTCTGGGAACGGCGTTCTGTGTTGCTGCGATAAAGTCGGGTTTTCGCAAAGGGTGGTGATTGCGGTTGAGTCCCTGAGTTCTTCAATGTGACCTATGGCAGTACTTTGCGTAAAGCGTTGCGGCTCTTTTTGAAAGTAAGTAAAAAGGACCCTGGCACGCCCGTCTTGCAGCTTCGTTACACCTCTTACGACGCCGATATTTTTTTCTTTTTCGAAAAGCAACTGAACACTTATTTTGAGCAGAACTTCGCCGTAAGTAGCGTCCTCAGTCCCGACGGGTAAAAACACGCTCTATCGCGGCGGCAAGTTCACGTGGTTGGTGGTGACTCGGACTGCGGATGACGCGGCGTTGGGTTCCTTCCGTGGAGGTACATGTTTTCGTAGCGTCAACCGATTCGGTCTCAGATCCGATGACGTTTCCGTATTCGCACAAGATATTCATTTCGAGGATAATGTTTGTTGCACAGTCTTGGAGAACGACGAACTTCACAGGACACGTCTCACCATGAATTTCGACTTCGCCTTCACCTCGACTACAACTTCCGACGTGCGTGATAGTTTCATAGAAGCCGGCGAGAAGCTTCCAACTTAAGACTGAGTGGGAAGCTCGGTCTTCAGCTTCCCACTCCGTGACACACCCGTCGACTTTTGTCGAGGGATGGCGGATGAGACCGCCGAATATTTCGCTTTTCACACCCTTATCAGGTGGTGCAGCTTCTTCTCCTCGTCGCTTGGGGGTCCGCACGGGCGCCCTGGCGTAGAACACACCCACGAAGCTGGTGATGCTCTCATTTAGGCCTTGGGTCCTTGTTCAAAGAAAGTCTTCGACCCTCTCGCGTTGGTATTGACTTGCAAACGTTTTCTTCTGTTCATGCTTACACACCTTTCACGATGTTAAAGAAGCATCGTGGTTCTCCAGGCAGTGCCCCGCAGTTCCTTTCAGCGAGGAGTATATGTTCTGTAAGCACTGTTCGGCTGACCATCCGGTGGGGGGGGGGGGGGGGCACACGTTCAAAGTCATGTAGCCAATCCTCGATGTCCTCGTGGACCTCCCTGTGGAAAGGCGTCGGATTCTAGGGTGCGAGGGTTAGGTATACCACGGTTTTCGGCGGCCGCGTTCAGGGACGAGTTGTCCATCGCCTGCGTCATTGGCTGCTTGGACTTGGGTGGTAAAAGTCAAAATTCCGGGTACAGTCCTTGGGTGCGGCGACTTGATCGAGTCTCGGTCTTCTCCTCGTGAGGTCTTCGTGAGCCGGGGACTGGGCTTTCGCTGCGTGGGCTCGGAGGAGTACGCTTCATGGGCTGCGTTACGCCGGATCTCTACCGAAATGTAACGAATGAGAAATGATGAGGTAGCGAATAACTAGAGAAACTCAACGTTTAATGTGGCGAACTTGTGCCAAAACAAAATAAGGATGAACGGCAAATAACAGACATCGCTGACATTGGTGACGGCATGACGGAACGGCAGGATCGAGCTGCAGGCGAAAGTATGACTCCGGTTCGCCACGCGGAGCTCATTATATACACGCGTGGGCTTCTGGCACATTCGGCGTAGAATGTTTGGTGCATAGAATATTCGTACCTGGAATGAGCAGCAGAACACCAGAACGTGACATTTACAGAAATAACAAAAATGTCCATCCGCTCCCAAGCATCGAACGTCAGCCCTTTGCGTGGGAGCCAAGCACGATGAACTTTCGGAAACGAGCGCGCTGCCTACTTGGATAGCTGCGTGCGTTGCAATATTGTTAGCACGGGCAAATTTTACTATTGTGGATTTTCAATTCCAGCTATTGCATATAAATCGTCCAAAATTATTATTATCAATATCAGTTCCGCTGGCCATGATATCTAAAGTAGTCGTTGAACCAGTTCGGTATCTTGAACATTACACTGTAATGCCCCATAACAATGTTCTTAATTAATCTAGACATTACAGAAGCGTATGAGTACTTCTGGTACTGGAACTTTAAGACGGATATCTCATTTCTGCTAAATATAAGAGACACGCTTAAAATATTGTTCTTGTTATTGTTATTAATATTTTTATTGTTTTTTTCCCTGGTCTTTTGTTTCTGTAATAACTTCGGGCCCTCCGGGAACTATAAATGAAACAATATAAAATCAGTTCCTCACGTTGTTACCGGCCTATTAGGAAAGACCCTTAAGCAATGTTATAGCAAAATTACTATTGTTTTGATCTTGGGGAAAATGAGCGCAAATGCTAATCAAAATATTTCTTTTCCTCAGATCCATGGGTGTTGGAGTTTGAAAAACAACAAACTCAAGGTTGATCAGATGACGTGGTCTATGTCGTATGCGCAATCGACCTGAAATATTGATAAAATGCTTACAATATATTGAAGAGTTGAGAAGACTATTGTAAACAATAAATGTCGAAGTTCAGTGAAAAGGTGCTCTTGTTCTTTGACCTTAATAACTTTAATTTCTTTTTACGCTGTACGCACTAATTAACTTAACAAGAAAAGTATATTGTGACTAGAATCCTTGGTCGGGGTGATTCGTTCAACTGCAGGCGATTCGCCTCAAGGGCGCAATATATCTCATAATTTATGCGAAACTATTCATTTATTTTATTATGTCACTTACACTTGGCAACACGGAAAACAAAACTGATTACATACACATCTCTTCTTCGTCCCAAGCTGAAATACGCATCTCTCATCTGGAACCCGCATCATTCCTATCTTATTGACAAGTTTAAGGCCATTCGAAACCGAGCCACCCGCTTCGTTCTTCGCAGTGGTACCCGTACAAGTATAACAACACTAAAGCAACAAACTAATATACACCTTCTTGCTGACCGACGTAAAATAACACGACTAACTGCCCTTCGTCACTGTACTATCATTCACCCTCAAAGAAAGAAAAAACATTGCCTAGCTGCCAACCACGTCTCGGCACGCACAGACAACCCACAGAAACTTCAGCTTGCCACTCCTTGAACTAACACTTTCAGATTTTCTCCGTTACAGTTATCTACATCAGACTGAAATTTCCCCCCGACAACATCGCAACAATAAAAGAGTCCATTAGATTTCTTTCTGCTATTGCCCCTCTTTACAATATATAAAAAAGAGCGGAAGGGGAAAAAGATTCCTAACTCTTCTTGAGTTGTATGTGTATTGTTGTTTTTGCCCCCCCCCCCCCACCCCCCTTATGTAAAGCCCCTACCGGGCGCTATAAGATTATATTAAATCAATGAAATGAAATTACAGATCGCCTTCATCTTAAACCTTTCCTTCAAATTGGTCATTCATTATTGCTGTACTGTTTTAATTTTAATATTGTTGGCAGTTGGTAACTTTTGTTTGAATTACTGGTGGTTCCGGGATCGAAACGCGGACCTGGAGAGTCCCCGTTGCTTGCGGAAGAGAGGGCGCGCAGAAGTGCCCTGAATTAGGGTGAATGTATTATTTGAAGCTTAAACCTATTCAACATATGTCTGTTTAATTAAGTTAAAACTAAGAAAAAAAAGTGAAAGCCGTTTACAACTCCCTGTAACGCCGAATTGGAGCGCAGCTCTTGAGGAGGAGGAGGGAAGGGTACTGAGGGCCACGTGTTCTCGGAGGGGGGGCACGTGACTCCCCAAGTCACGTGACCTCCCGTCACGTGACCAAAATTTTCCCGCTAGATTTAGCGGGGAAACTTTTCCGCTAGATATAGCGGGGAAATTTTTTTCCGCTAGATTTAGCGGCGAAATTTTTCTGCTAGATTTAACGGGGAAATTCTTCCGCTAGATTTAGCGGGGAAAGTTTTTCCGCTAGATTTAGCGGGGAATTTTACCCACAATGCACCGCGCGGTTACGGCGACGGCGACGCCGCTCAAGTTGGAAACGGGTGCCTAAAAGCTGCGCTCTAAAATATTAATTTTCCCACTAGTTTTAAATTTTAGAGGGGCCCAAACGTTCACAACCAGCTCGGCTTCAGCTTCAAAGGGGACCGCGTTTGCGTTCGTTGAGGAGCATTTGGGGAGTGAAGAGGTGAAAAGGAAGGCAGCTCTCCAACGCAGTCGCCCTGGAACGAGAAAGCGCGTTGGTTTTATAACGTTCGTCCTCTTCACATTGGGGAAATTGATTGCAACTTGTAAGTTTGTCTAATTCCTTATAAATACTAGGGTACAGTCATGTCTCCTTAGCATGGACCCCGTTAAGATGGATACCCCGCTAGATGAACAGCATTTTCGGGAACACACTGGAAGAACACATGCATTTTTGTCTCGTTATTATGGACAGCTCAAACCATGAACAATATTTTCTTTGGGGGGGAACGACAGTTTCCATATTAATCAAATATCACGTTGTATCCTATTAAAAAAAATCTTAAGCTATACTTCTGAAAGTCATTGACGCCATGAAGAGCTGTGACAGGTGTATGAAGCGAGAACGCGCTTGCCATAGAAACTTTATTGCCAATTAACTAAAGAGAATGTAGCTTCTGCAGCTTATGGAATAACATTATAAATAGAAAATCCTCGTGCAATAATTGTACATATTTTTACTGCTAGATGTATTAACCCAATGTTTAACAAAATGACTCAAACAGGTTATAGTAACCAACAAGGTAACCGAGATGCAAAGCTAAGCCTTTTTTGTTCTTGCCTAATGCTTCGTGAGTCACTCTTTGGCGTTCTGATCGAGAAATCCCTCAATCACATTGATCGCTGAACGACGATGACGATGCTCCGGATGCTCCGTCACGCCCCGCGTTTCTTTAACTGTCTGTGACTACATAGTCGGTATTCATAATGGACCTTGTGCAGAATGGTGAGGCGTTCTGTGATCCCTGAAAATCTCGCAACTACAAAGGGCATCGACCAATTTTCAAATGGGCACGAAGCACTTCATCTGTGATGAGCTACCCAAACTGGCTACCTGCGCAGCCTTGTGGCAAAGCCAGATTCCTGTGTCGTCACATTGAACATAAAATGTGTTGAGTGCACGTAGCATGAAGTGACCTTATATGATTCTTAAATATATATTTCTTAAATATCGCGTGTCCCGATTCACCATTTTCTGAGAAGAATTACGTCCTCTCAATAAGCAGGCGGGTAAATTTATTTTTCCCTTTTTGTGTGGCTGTTTTGTGCGGAGCAAACTTGTTTGTCTCTTAAAAAACAAGTTTCCAGTTTGTGCGAGACAAACTTGAAAAGGGGTTTTTCATCAGTCATATGCTTACATGATAATAGACCGCTTCTTGTTTACCTGTGTTTTTTTATATATTGCCCCAGATTATGCCTATACTTCATACTCAACCCTACTTTGACCTGGCAATATTCAACCTTAAAGTGTGTTTATTTTGTGTGTTTACTATATACAACCGACAGCGTAAGAACCCCGAGGCGTGACGAGTTTCGACTATATAGTCCTGGGTTATCGGTCCTCAGGCCATCGGATTGCGGCTTCAACTAATAAGAACGCCAGAGCCAATAATAGAGCGAGAAGCATGGCCCTAATAGGCTAGATCCAGAGACTTAAGTCCCTCCCTCGTTTGTTATAGTGTCGGTGAGGCTATATAAAACTCCCCTCATGTAATGTACTTCATTAAAATGGCTTTGAGGGTTAATCAGCCAAATTGAATTGAGTATAAGTACATTTTTACATATTAGTGATTATTCCCTTCGTAGTAAAGAAACTGAACGGTGTCTTTCTCTTTCTTTCGATTATTGGGATCAAAATACAGGGGCCGACCAAGAAAATGAGCCGCGACTTTTTGACCCCAAAAAAATAAGCTACGCATCGCCGAAATCTGGAATTATGTGAGATCATGAGGCCAGCGGTAGTGACAAACTGCGAAGTTTTGACAACGTGGCGTTACCCGGTTTAAAAGATACGAGAGTAAAACGAAAGTTCTCTCTGAGCCAAGGTTTACCGGCCTTAACCTTCTAGTCATCGGGTAAAAAAAAATATACAAAGTGGGCGCTTCTAGCTTTAGTTGCAATGAAACAGAGCTCGTCAGCGAAAAAGACAACACTGTTTTCTTCAAATCTGACAAGTATCTTTTTTAAGCGCCAATAACAAATGTTACTGGCGCTTAAAATGCGATTTCTTGATTTGATGAATATTAGACTTCGGTGGACCTCGGTTCATAGAACCTTTTTATTTTCTCTCGTATCTTTCAATTTAGGTAACGGCTTATCAAAACGTGAGTGTTATGAAACATTTGCGTTTTGTCACCACTCTTAGCGTCACGTTCTCACGGATTTTCATCTTGCTGCGACGCGGTGCCTTTTTGCGAGCCGAAAAACCGCGTTTTATTTTTGTCGACTGAGCCATGTAGTTGATTATGATATATTTGAATCAAGCCAGAAATATTTGTAGAAAGAACGTAGGCAGGAGGCAGGCCGTCTGGAGCATTAATTTTTATAAAGCAAAGAGCGAAATGCATAAGGCAGCCAATGTTATCAAAATCTTCGGGCTCGTGGTGATGCTGCTGTTCTTGTCGACTCTTGTGCAATTGTACAAATCATTATGAGTGTTGAGAAAGTGGTGCGCGGCTTGCATCATAGGACTGTTTCGAGTACTGGAGCAAGGATAGTCTCTAAGGCTGTGAGTAATTAAATGAAAGTAGGCGCGCAAATTTTCAAAGGGAAAGCTGCCACATCGTGAATATTTTATACCAGATCCGATGCTCTCGCTGAACGTTCCCTGCCTCAAACACCATTCCACATTATGGTGAAGTAGGCTAAATCTTACAACTAAGGTTCAACCTGCCCTTACTAAACCTTCGACGTTAAGGAAATGATTCCAGGTAAAACATTTAATTATGTTTATTGTTTCAAAACTGTTTTGTAGTAGAACATGCATGGCTTTTAACCGCTATCACATATCCCAAATATTTGTTCGTTAGTTTCTGCATTTCCCCGCTAAATTTAGCGAAACAACTGACGCCATGTCACATAATATCACTGGGCTTATCGACAAGTCACGCGATCTGATATCACGTGACGTCAAGTCACGTTACGTCAAATTTCCCGCTAAATTCACGCAATAAATGAATATACAATACGTTTTTCACTTTCCAAGACGTCTTCGAGACATTAGAAAATTTAAAAAATCGCTCCTTGAATAAAGCATTCCACGCATTGTAAAACTTTACAACGATAAAGGTCACTGGCAATTGTTTATAATGGTGAGTTTTTTAACAAAAACAAAACTGCCATCATTGCACCCTTCTGTTAAATAATTTTAACAACTCTGAAAAAAAATTTACGTTACACTAAAATTTAAAAGCACTTCCTCCCAAACATTCTTTACCGCGTAATCTAGCTTTCGACATAAAAAAAAAAAAACTGTTATTGAATACCATATTCAGTAACCTAAAACCAACCGGACCAAGGCATTACCATATTTGTTTTCCCTATCTAGCTCTACCACAGCGGCATG